AAAACTAGCTAGTTGTAGCTAAGTGCATCGACCACTATAAACATTAACAACAACAACTACACGCCACTCCTCGCTCAGTCTTGTCTAAAAGCGATGATCGTCGTATTGCTTCGCCCCATATTGTTTGTCTTCATACATTTTGTTTTGGCTGATCAGATCTCTTGTAGATCCTACGTTGGCGGCGTTTATCGTATGCGGTCCTTTGCAGTTTCTGGTTTCTCATGAGAGAATCAGCCTGAGGTGACTGGCAGCAGGTGGCTCCAAGGGAGAAGAGTGTTTCATCGGGATGAGGGTAGAATGCAAGGCTGATACCACGTGAAAAACGTTTCGAGACACCAACCTGACAAGAACTGATAAAGTAGGATCGCAACAGTGGACAGCTGTTTCGCCCTTCTTGGGGCTCGTCAGCATTGTGTAACGAAGATATGTAACGCCAGCCCAACAGCCAACACACATAAATTGCAAAATGACCAGTTCACCATATCAAACTCACTTGCGCCCCGAAACAAACGTTGCCACATCACGTTGCCAGCCTAAACATTTAAACATTCAACGCATGGCCAGTACCATGCTTTAAAAACGATAATAACTTATCAAAGCCTGGGCATTGTTTGTCGGGGATCCCAGTGAAAATATGTTACCATTTTCATTGGGTCAAATGTGCTTTTTCATGGCTTAGGTAGAGAAGCAGTTTCAACAAAGCTGAACCGTGTCCCTGTGTGCATATATCTATCGATGGAGTCTCTCGCAGAGTAAAGATTTAGAGATTTTGTGGTTTGCTATAATTGGAATGTGTTTTTACGGAAATACTGTAATTACCAAAAAATCGTGACATAAATCTCGCTATGGATTGAAGATGGAGCAAGTCATGTCAAAATTGCACTTCTAAAGATATATAATAATTATTTTTAAAAAATTGAAACTTGAATCAGTGTGTAAAATATTAACAATGGAAAGATGAACAAAACTGGTTCGAGTGGCCGTATTTATAAACGGGGTAAAATTGTAAAGGATTACTGATACAGGCTGGGATTTCGGAATGTGCAGTGGCCGTTGGCCGTATCAACGGGTGGCCACCTCAACGGGCTTTTCTTATAAGAAGATGTATAGACGTTTCGCCGGGACCCGAAAAAGAGTGGCCGTAATAACGAGGTGACCGTAGTAGCGAGGAGCAATGAACATTTACTGCCTATCGCTACTTTCAGTAGATCCTTGACCTGAAACAACACTTTGTTGAAAATAACTTATATTTACTTCAAAATACAAATGCCCTTGGAATTTAACCAAGTGGTTGATCTTAAACTGAGTTCTAGTTCGCTTTGGTGTTATATATTTTCAACGCTCTGCGAATTCCTTTTCCGAATAGGGACTGGTAATTGAGCCTTAAATCGTCCCAAGGTAAAACATTTCAAATCCAGTTGCCTAACTGCAGGTTTTGGTTGGTGTAGCTACTTTCGAAACCGTTGCTTTCGTTGGTTCCCTGCTACTTACACAGAATTCTTATTGTCACACGTCCCAAGGGTCTTCATACGTTCGGATAAAAGTTAACGGTCATTTGATCAGTGTTGCCTAAATCTAAATCTTTGCTGTGCGAGAAACCCTCAGAGAGAGCTGGTATGTGCGCAGGGATACGGTCAGCGGTTTGTGAATCGCACATGTAAAAGTGACCGTTTAAGATATTAGGTCATTAATGTATAGGTGCCGTATAGTACGTAGCTGAGCTAGGAGAGGCTTTAAAGCATTCAGTAGAGGTAGCATTCTGAATAATTATGCTGGAGTAGATGGTTACGGTCGGTTACTCTCTGGAATGGTACGGGAGAAGAAAGATGATGTATAACAGTTCTTGACGTTTTTGTTTGTCTGAGCGTTTCTATACTGAGTATTGTCCGATTGTCTGGTTGCGCGACCACGTTCGATCAAGACCTTTTTTATCAACATCCATGCGCAAGACCGTGGACGAGTTTAAACATAGCTTCCCTCACTTGAAGACTCTGCCATCTTGTTAACTACTCCGGATGGCAAAAGTTTTATTGCTTACACACACACTGATAATGAATGAAAATTCCGACTTAAACCTACAAGTTTTTATACCTATGTAAATAATAGAAAGTTCCAGAAGCGTCTACATATATTTGGGCTTGCGGGACAATGCATGCTAATTATCAAACACTCTACATCATGACTATGCCTGAAAAGGTGATAGAATGAATCGAACTACACAAGCTGATTATGTAACACATCTATGGTCATCACTTGTGTTAAACCGAGTTCTCTAGTTGTGACAGTCTCCTTTAACGAAACGTGCTGCCCTACAATATACATTGCCTTGTTAGTCTTGTTAGTTAGAGCGCGGTATTAATTTCATGAGCAGAATCTTACTATGATTATCTCTTAGTCACTGGGTTCAAATCGATCAGTGCTTTCAAGAGAGACGTATTCTACATCTACATTTTACATGGCAAAGGTTGCCTATCCCTCCACGGAGTGCTAGTGCAGGTGCATGTCATCAAGTTAATGCAGTGCAAAGTAATGCTGTTCATGGTGCTCTTACAAAAAAAAAAAGCTTCTTGAAGCTTTTTGGGCTACACGCTTGTGCCTAGTCAGTGTCATCCATCACTGATCTGTACTAGGACAAAATTTGGAAAAAAGACATCTCAGTTCTTCCCCCGCCCAAGAGATGACTTGCATCCGATTAGAAAAGGTACAATACGAGGCCGAATTTGGCAGAGTCTCCCTGAGTTCACTCGCGATCAGGCGTTCTTTTTTTGAAAAAAAGAACGCCTAATGATCGCAGGTATTCCCGAGTATTCAGTACAGACTGTGAGCAGTCTCTTTCTTTTCCTAGTGTCCGACGCGAATACAAGAATACAAAAGAATACAAGAATACAAGACGAGTGCGAGAAGAGTAGGTGCAGAAAGAAGGAAAAAGGAAACGTTTCTTCCCCTCTCGTTTCCAATCGCGCAAAGGATTCAGGAACAAAACCGATCGACCGCTCGTAGTCTAGATTGGTTTCTTCTTATAAGGTGATTCCTTAGTATCGCATTGCGCATCCCTACTGCGCACGGTTTTTGCGTCATTAGCACGGGCACATGAGCGCATGCGCGTGCAAAAGTCACCTAAATAACCGTAGTTGTCAGCATTGTGGCGTGAAAACAAGCACGGTGACTCCCATACCAAGTTTCATCGGAAATCTATGGCGGGTCCTTTTACTAGAGAATCACCTTAATGACAAATATGGATATGTTTACACTTAGTGTCTGAGCGTGGTGCCTAAGCATGATTCTTACTTGGCACTAACGTGAACACGCCCTTTTTACAAGTGCTCACACCAGAATTCAAGTACAGTGCCCGTGCCCTGGTACTTGGGTACTTGGAGTACCTAATGTCTGCACCTGACACTAATTTGTGCTGGTGCTTGGGCAGCAAGTGTGAACACAGCCTAAGAGTGACTGATATCTCTTGTCAAAACTGGAGGACTTCAAAATATATGAATAGGCATGATTTGCATAATCATGCTATGAATAACCCAAAGGTTATCCTGGGTACCAGACACTTTTTGTGCGCAGTTTCCGGTTTTGGTTAACTCTTTATTATGACTTAGTCATGGTGTTGGCCTCTGGCCGACCCAATACATTCCGCTGTTTGAAAGAGAAAAAAAAAAAAACTGGAAACTTGAGTCTACGAATGAAAGCCACAGTTTAATATCGGACAGACTACAGGTTATTTACAACATAATACGGGAAAGTGTATGGAAAGAATGAAGTTAAAACCCAATATCCGTACATGGTCTTGCTATGTGGTTGTGTGGAAAATAGTATGGAAACAGGGCTCTTTTTGCAACAATAGCATTGTTGCCTTAGACATGTCTGTCTCTACCTATTCAAAAACAAGTTTACAGTGAACATAAAGTTCACTGTGCTGCTCTTCATCTTTTCTGTCAAGTCATCTTGTAATCAACAAAATAATAGTTCTTGGCATAACAAGACTAGGGCAAAATTATACAATTTCTCTTCTAGGTAACTTGCTTCATCAAGATTTTCCAGCGATTGGTCGTGGTTGATTTCCTCCCCCTGGGGGACCTGGCATCCTTCCTGGCGGGCCCCCATGGGGTGGTGCTCCAGGAGGTGGTCGTATCCCACCTGGTGGTGGCATTGCTCCAGGAGGTGGAAGGTGAAAAGGTAAAGCTCCAGGGGGAGGCAGAGCTCCTGGAGGTGGTGGCATCATTCCAGGGGGTGGGGGTGGTAACATTCCAGGGGGAGGTATGTGGGCAACTGGTGCTGGAGTGGAGCCAGCTTGATACGCGGCAGCTAAAGTAAAAGAAAGAACACATTGATTGGTTTTAATTAAAACTTGTTTCAGATGACGAGATACCAAACGTGAGGGGTTTCAGGCTTAAAATGTTTGATGAAGGAAAATAAAAACACTTGCCACTGGATTTCAAAATTATGGGCAGCACATTATTTATATTCCATAGCGATTTTCAACATTTCTTTTCAAAAAGCACAACTAAAGAGTTCAAACAATGTGCAAAATGCAAGGGTAGGTTTGGTCTACCTTAAAAGAGTAATTTGGTCGGTCAAAGCCCCACTATACAGACAACTTGTTATGGATGGTAGTTTTGGCCACTAGCCCATACATGGGTGTGACCTACTTCTTCCCTGGATAGCATTTTAATTTTTTTCTTTGAAGAGAAACAGTCAGTAAAAAAATCACTGGCAGGTCAGGAAATTGCTGGCTGTTGCCAGCATCCGGCTCCTAGTTTGAACCTTGTAGTTGAAAATTCTCAATCTATTGGTTCTCCATGGCTTATTTGTCAGGTAATTGGCGTGTGATCACATGGGTGTCCCATTGCAGGTATCCAATTCGAACTTTTTGTAATTGGATAACTGTAATTGGATACCCACGTGATTCACATGTCAATTATGTGCGTTTTAACAGCTTATTTCACAATGTTTCCTACAGTTTTCAAAACTTATGAAAAGCACATACAGACGTTTTTGCTCAAAAGACGTTCTCAAGAAATTCTCAAGAAGTTCTCTTTCTGTCGCCCCTACCAGGGCTGTCATTAAGGGCTGTAACCTGTAACACCTGTTACAGCTGAGTATGCCTGATTTTCCTTTGATGATATCAGTGAAATTGCCTGTTGTTGAAAGAATTCACAGACAAAGTAACAAGTTTGCTACGGGTGTGGAGAGCAAGGGTACAGGCGACTCAAAACTTATAACAGTCCTGCCTACTACATCTGTATTTCTGGGGTTTGACTTCATCTGATATTGACTGTTGTCTTGTGAATGACTGGGTACAAAGAAGTGTTAAGTTTAAAACTGTTCTAGATTTCAACAACAATCTACACAGAAGAGAAAAAACAAAAAAGAAAAAAAAAGCTACATACTTGTTTGATCAATTAAACTTTGTGCCTGCTCCTCCATCCACTTTGTGTAGTAAAACCGCACATTTTCTTTGTGTTTTCGGCCACCATTGTGCGTTTTCCGGACAGATGGCTGGGATGACAAGAAATGATTAGTCAAAGTGAGCATTCCACAGTATATTTAAAGGTTTCCATAGCGCAGTTAAAATCTTTTCTGTAACCAATCCATACCGACAACACGGCTCTACAGAAACCACTGGTGGTGGATTTTAGTGCATGACTATAAACAGTCATATCAAGATGCTTAATAAAATTTATTGTAGGATACGCTTTTTTGAGTGAATACTCTAGCTTGATCATTACTTAAATCAGAGCTGTTGGTTGTTGATTGGTTGATTGACTGACTGGTAAACTGATTCAAGTCATATGGTATACAGTGTATGAGGAGTGAAAGTCACCATTTTTTTTTTCTACCTTTATCGTTGAGTATTCAGAATCTATTAGCATCTTTAAGCATTCTACAACGAATATAGGCTGCTATTGATCACCACTGAGAACTACTGGGGACCTACTCTATGTAATACAAGTTACAACATTATTACAACTGAAGAAAAAAATTAATGACTCGTCGATCATTCCTTTCAACAACATGGTTTATGGGGGGCTTGGGTAGCCTTAGTAGCTACTGAAGGCAGGTACATTGTCCTTCTAAGCGAAGAATATCTTCTAACTGGGCATGGACTCATTTTCTTAACCAAATTAAAACTTGTCGAGACACATGGCATCAAACTCACCGAGTCGTGTGTTAGGTAGGTGTCACAGTAATCGCAGTAATACCTAGAATAAAAAGACAATTACAAAAAAAACTTCACATAAACATAAACGGTAGATTGATTTAACAGATCCGCTTTAAGGAAAGAACTAAAAAAGAAGCAAAAACGCTTATTTTCAAGGGAACAAATAAGACAATACTCACTTCGGCATCTTAGCAAAGCGATTCCGCCACGTTTGCGTGGTACAAACAGGCGCATCAACTTGGCGGAATTGACGCTGGATATTTGAATTGAAGGCTCGTTTAGCATTGCGTCACACGTGGGTAAAGAAATTTAACATGGCGATGCTTGCGGAGCCAAAATCGAAGCAAAAATGGAGCAGTGATCCGCGTAATACAACTTGGACTAATGGTAAGAAACTATTTATATACCCAAGGACCATTTCTTGCTGGTAAACGTATCAAAAACTGCGTCACGAGTATAAATTTTTATTTTTCTAGCTTTGGAGTTTTTCATGTCTTTTTAATATCTTACTGAGATCTTTGAACACAGCATTTCCGGTTTTGTTGGGCTGTGGAGTCCGAAATCAATTGATAGAAATTGACTTTAAAGTCCTTTAATTAAAGCCAGTGGGAAAATGATACCAAGTTTAGAAGTAGGTTAAATCCCCTGCATAGTCAATCGAACGTTCGGAAATCGAGCTCAATCCGTGATTTGAGGTCGATTGAGTTCGGCAATGAAACCAAGTGGAACACCGAATTTTGTGTGAGTTCGATTTCCAAACCAATCATACTCAATCGAACAAATCGAACTGAGCCAAACTCAATCCATTAGACTGTGTTCGATTGGGTTCGGCAGCTGAACTCAATCAAACGCAATCCAGTGGGTTGCGTTTGATAGTGTTCGGTGGGTAAATTCGCTTGAACAAAGATTATTGTTCGTGGTCTTCAAAACATGAAAACACGAGTTATAGTGAAGTACCTTGAGCCTTGAAAAAAATGTTATTGATTTTCAACACCAGTTGTACAAAAAATCAAGACTTCAGAAATCAAAAGTTCAATTTAGTTCGATTGTCCAATTTTTGTGTGAGTTCGATTTGGTTTGATCGCAGAACTCAATCCATGGATTGGGTTTGATTTAGTTCCATTGAGTTCAATTGAAATACAGTTCGACTGGGTTTGATTTACTATGCCAGGGCTAAAATATTCCGAATTGTGCTGATAATGCCTTGCAAGACAGAGATCCCCTTCTGTTTCTGCTGGCTGAGAGACAAGAGGGAACAATACAACATGATATGACAGAGAATTTTCAACTACCTGAAAAACAACCAAGGGGTGTTTGAGTAAAATTGTGTAAATAATTTGTCTTCAGATACTAGCAGATTTGGCTACCAGATGTTAACTAAAATGGGATGGCAGAGTGGTAAAGGACTGGGTGCCAAGGAAGATGGATCTACAACTCATGTGAAGTCTGTAAAGAGACGTGACAACTTGGGTAAAAGCAAACCAATAGACGGCAAGGGGTGCTTTCCATTCGACCAAACATTCTGATTTGAAATTCTTTGTATTCTATGTGACGAATGGAACAATGTTTTCCAGTATGTTGGACTAACCCATCCCAGGTCATCACTTTCCAATCTTCGCACGAAAATACAAAATAAACAAAAAGAAAACAAACAGCAGACTGTTTGCCCTTTTGACCTTTTTTACTCTCTTGTGAGTTGCTCAATGACTCTGAAGTTGAAACAAATGATGTATAATTTTGGTGAGGACGATGATGTAACTTTTATCAGTGTGGCAAGCTCTTACGTGCCTAGGAATTTAAAATGAAGTCCACAACTGCATTAAGGGTGCAATACCTCTTTATTTTCCTGATGAGATCAAGAGTCACTTTGGAATGATGAGGCAAGCTGTTCACTTGCATGGTCATGCCTACATTTCACATAGCTTACATGTATTTTTGCACCTCTCACTAAAGCAATGTTGTGGCCAATCCACTGCAATAGTGTTGAAGTAAGAGATTTAAGTTGTCCATCAGATAGAAAACATGACAAGTACTGATACTGAGAAGCTTGAGGAACAGCTGTGTTGAGTTCAATTTCTAGGCTTGGAGAAACTGGGCCCAAGCAGGAATGGTCAAATAGAATGACATTTTGTGGTTATTTTGATTTTCTAGAATTTTAGACCAACCTCATAAGGTACACCCAAAATTTTGGAATGAACTTCCAGAAAATGTCTCTTTCATTCGCTCCCTTAGCTGGAATTTTTGGTCAAATGGAAAGCGCCCCGGAAGAGTACATTTATCATAGGTGACAACAACTGTCTTTATTCTCACCAACAGATTTAAGAATAAAATGCTTATTACTGCAGACAGCCATGTTTGTCCTGATACCACACTGAAGATGTAGCTAGTTACTGAATGCTTCATTTCCTTGAAAGAATGTACAAACAACCATAAGGACAAAGTTAACCTGAGTTATATTTTTAATTCTTGAATGATTTTTTGAACTCAGAAGTATAATGTCTTGATCTGTGAATCAAATTCTAACAGCTAGCTTCAAAAGAAGTGAATGGCAGTCTAAGAGACAATTGATATGTTTCACTTCGGTTTGAGAATTCTTGTGGCCATAGCAGTTGTAGTTAGATTAACAACCATGATGCCATGCATCTGTTCAGTAATTGATCACAAGTGACCCTCATTAAACATTATTTAACATGGTAAATGAACCGCTGTAGTGAGTTTGTGAGGCTAATGTTTTGAGTGCTAGCACTATCAGAGCTTGGTGACAAAGTAACTTTGCGTGACACTTGAAACATCAGCTTTGCAAACTCACTACTGAAGTTAATTAATATCTACCTTTTTTCAACTTCAGGTTGGTAAACAGCTACTAAATGTACTATCGAAACAACACTGTTTACAATTAGGATGTGCATGTTCAAAGTTAGAGTGCACCAAAGCTGTTAGACAAAGTTTCTCTGACAAATGAGGACAACAATGAAAAGCTGATCATATTATTATCATTATCTCTCCATTCAGGTTTGGGAGCTGATAAGTCTAATGAAGATAACTGGTTATCACACCAACTGGAATTTGATGATCTGCTGTCACGCCTTAATGATCATTCAGAAAATGGTGATGGTGAGTTTCCCAGTCCTGGAGTCTGATGACTTCTCAATTATCAACTGGGCCCTAAAAGGAATTGTGCGATAATAGACTTTTTTGTCCCGCAAAGCACAGTTATGTATGCACGTTTCTATTCAACAGCTTTTGACATTCTTTTGCTGGCAAGCTGTTAATGTGGTCAAACTGTGCTATTTCAAACTCTGAGGGGGAAACAAAATAGTTCTAAATAGTGGGGGTTCAAATTAACCAGGTCTGATCAGCATTTAATATGAAAATCAGGGCTGTTATTAAAGGCCGTAACCTGTAACACCTGTTACAATTGAGTATGCTTGATTTTCCCTAGATGCTACAGGGGAAATTGCCTGTTGCTGAAAGAATTCACCCACAAAGTAACAAGTTTGCTATGGGTGTGGAGAACAAGGGTGCAGGTGGCTCAAAACTTAATGGGAGTTGTGAAAATAACTCTCAATACTAGTTAATTTACTCTACCAAAGGATTTTGAAATGAATGCAGCAACAAAAATCAGTTTGTTAATCATAGCAAGTGACTGAAAGAAGGGCAAATCTAAGGGAAATGGTTTGAGTTCAAAATTTTTGAGTTTGAATTAAGCCTGGTTCTCATATGCCACTGAAATACCTGGGAGACCGTTACAGCATATGTGAACATTTATCACCAAATTATAATCTGTCCCAGGCATTGACTGCCAGCTTGCCTGTGAAGTTGAGCTGAGTTCAACTTTGCAGGCAAGCTGGCAGTTGTCGGCGACTGTCGGCGATGAGATTATTTTATTTGAACATCATCTGCAGATGCAAAGTACTTCAGTAAGACAATTCGATCCATATTTACAGGTGGGATGGTTGAAAATTGCACCAATTTGATTTGCATTTCGCACAAATTTGAGTATGTTGGCGATCCATAACAGATGTGCCAGGGACCCACTGGAACAGATCGCCGAACGTTGTCAGTTGCAACCGGTGACTATGTCACAGGTAGGACAGCGGGTATGAGAACCAGGTTTTAGTAGGGTCCAACTGCACCACATTTCTCTTTTTAATGGAAAAATTAATTGGCTTATTTTGTTGATTGCAAAAGGAGAGAAGCCAACAAAGAAAAGAAAGAAGCATGAAATGGAGAAGACAGCCCGACAATCCCGAAAGAGAGTGTTGTGAGTATTTCCCTTTAGAATAGCTTTGTGAAATACATATATATTTTTAATACTGCATCAAGGCAATATCATTAACATGCAGTTGATGAATTTCTTCTATTATTTTCATCACCTGCCTGTGTGATAATGTAATTATATTGGGGATTGAGCAATGACCATTGATTTTGTTTGATGATGAAGTTGAAGGTTGATATAAAGATAAGGGGAAGTGTTTTTGACTCGCCATGCCAGAACTTACTNAGAGGGAACAATACAACATGATATGACAGAGAATTTTCAACTACCTGAAAAACAACCAAGGGGTGTTTGAGTAAAATTGTGTAAATAATTTGTCTTCAGATACTAGCAGATTTGGCTACCAGATGTTAACTAAAATGGGATGGCAGAGTGGTAAAGGACTGGGTGCCAAGGAAGATGGATCTACAACTCATGTGAAGTCTGTAAAGAGACGTGACAACTTGGGTAAAAGCAAACCAATAGACGGCAAGGGGTGCTTTCCATTCGACCAAACATTCTGATTTGAAATTCTTTGTATTCTATGTGACGAATGGAACAATGTTTTCCAGTATGTTGGACTAACCCATCCCAGGTCATCACTTTCCAATCTTCGCACGAAAATACAAAATAAACAAAAAGAAAACAAACAGCAGACTGTTTGCCCTTTTGACCTTTTTTACTCTCTTGTGAGTTGCTCAATGACTCTGAAGTTGAAACAAATGATGTATAATTTTGGTGAGGACGATGATGTAACTTTTATCAGTGTGGCAAGCTCTTACGTGCCTAGGAATTTAAAATGAAGTCCACAACTGCATTAAGGGTGCAATACCTCTTTATTTTCCTGATGAGATCAAGAGTCACTTTGGAATGATGAGGCAAGCTGTTCACTTGCATGGTCATGCCTACATTTCACATAGCTTACATGTATTTTTGCACCTCTCACTAAAGCAATGTTGTGGCCAATCCACTGCAATAGTGTTGAAGTAAGAGATTTAAGTTGTCCATCAGATAGAAAACATGACAAGTACTGATACTGAGAAGCTTGAGGAACAGCTGTGTTGAGTTCAATTTCTAGGCTTGGAGAAACTGGGCCCAAGCAGGAATGGTCAAATAGAATGACATTTTGTGGTTATTTTGATTTTCTAGAATTTTAGACCAACCTCATAAGGTACACCCAAAATTTTGGAATGAACTTCCAGAAAATGTCTCTTTCATTCGCTCCCTTAGCTGGAATTTTTGGTCAAATGGAAAGCGCCCCGGAAGAGTACATTTATCATAGGTGACAACAACTGTCTTTATTCTCACCAACAGATTTAAGAATAAAATGCTTATTACTGCAGACAGCCATGTTTGTCCTGATACCACACTGAAGATGTAGCTAGTTACTGAATGCTTCATTTCCTTGAAAGAATGTACAAACAACCATAAGGACAAAGTTAACCTGAGTTATATTTTTAATTCTTGAATGATTTTTTGAACTCAGAAGTATAATGTCTTGATCTGTGAATCAAATTCTAACAGCTAGCTTCAAAAGAAGTGAATGGCAGTCTAAGAGACAATTGATATGTTTCACTTCGGTTTGAGAATTCTTGTGGCCATAGCAGTTGTAGTTAGATTAACAACCATGATGCCATGCATCTGTTCAGTAATTGATCACAAGTGACCCTCATTAAACATTATTTAACATGGTAAATGAACCGCTGTAGTGAGTTTGTGAGGCTAATGTTTTGAGTGCTAGCACTATCAGAGCTTGGTGACAAAGTAACTTTGCGTGACACTTGAAACATCAGCTTTGCAAACTCACTACTGAAGTTAATTAATATCTACCTTTTTTCAACTTCAGGTTGGTAAACAGCTACTAAATGTACTATCGAAACAACACTGTTTACAATTAGGATGTGCATGTTCAAAGTTAGAGTGCACCAAAGCTGTTAGACAAAGTTTCTCTGACAAATGAGGACAACAATGAAAAGCTGATCATATTATTATCATTATCTCTCCATTCAGGTTTGGGAGCTGATAAGTCTAATGAAGATAACTGGTTATCACACCAACTGGAATTTGATGATCTGCTGTCACGCCTTAATGATCATTCAGAAAATGGTGATGGTGAGTTTCCCAGTCCTGGAGTCTGATGACTTCTCAATTATCAACTGGGCCCTAAAAGGAATTGTGCGATAATAGACTTTTTTGTCCCGCAAAGCACAGTTATGTATGCACGTTTCTATTCAACAGCTTTTGACATTCTTTTGCTGGCAAGCTGTTAATGTGGTCAAACTGTGCTATTTCAAACTCTGAGGGGGAAACAAAATAGTTCTAAATAGTGGGGGTTCAAATTAACCAGGTCTGATCAGCATTTAATATGAAAATCAGGGCTGTTATTAAAGGCCGTAACCTGTAACACCTGTTACAATTGAGTATGCTTGATTTTCCCTAGATGCTACAGGGGAAATTGCCTGTTGCTGAAAGAATTCACCCACAAAGTAACAAGTTTGCTATGGGTGTGGAGAACAAGGGTGCAGGTGGCTCAAAACTTAATGGGAGTTGTGAAAATAACTCTCAATACTAGTTAATTTACTCTACCAAAGGATTTTGAAATGAATGCAGCAACAAAAATCAGTTTGTTAATCATAGCAAGTGACTGAAAGAAGGGCAAATCTAAGGGAAATGGTTTGAGTTCAAAATTTTTGAGTTTGAATTAAGCCTGGTTCTCATATGCCACTGAAATACCTGGGAGACCGTTACAGCATATGTGAACATTTATCACCAAATTATAATCTGTCCCAGGCATTGACTGCCAGCTTGCCTGTGAAGTTGAGCTGAGTTCAACTTTGCAGGCAAGCTGGCAGTTGTCGGCGACTGTCGGCGATGAGATTATTTTATTTGAACATCATCTGCAGATGCAAAGTACTTCAGTAAGACAATTCGATCCATATTTACAGGTGGGATGGTTGAAAATTGCACCAATTTGATTTGCATTTCGCACAAATTTGAGTATGTTGGCGATCCATAACAGATGTGCCAGGGACCCACTGGAACAGATCGCCGAACGTTGTCAGTTGCAACCGGTGACTATGTCACAGGTAGGACAGCGGGTATGAGAACCAGGTTTTAGTAGGGTCCAACTGCACCACATTTCTCTTTTTAATGGAAAAATTAATTGGCTTATTTTGTTAATTGCAAAAGGAGAGAAGCCAACAAAGAAAAGAAAGAAGCATGAAATGGAGAAGACAGCCCGACAATCCCGAAAGAGAGTGTTGTGAGTATTTCCCTTTAGAATAGCTTTGTGAAATACATATATATTTTTAATACTGCATCAAGGCAATATCATTAACATGCAGTTGATGAATTTCTTCTATTATTTTCATCACCTGCCTGTGTGATAATGTAATTATATTGGGGATTGAGCAATGACCATTGATTTTGTTTGATGATGAAGTTGAAGGTTGATATAAAGATAAGGGGAAGTGTTTTTGACTCGCCATGCCAGAACTTACTCTGGTTTATGTACCAAGAAGCGCCTAGAAGTGTATTTCTACCCCTCCCCCTGAATTTGATTTTAGTCCACTACAGGGTAACTCTCAGCAACATATTTGCTGGTACCCATTTGTAAATGCATCCAGTGAGAATTACTGCAAGAGAAGTATTGCCGAAGAACACAACAACGTGGACTCAGCTACTAATGAACTTGAGTTGCTCTATTTGGAGTTCAGAAAATCTGGCAAGATGGGACACTTAACCCTGACACAGATTTCACACTATCTTATAGTGGTAGAGCTTCAGTTTATGAAATAATTATGATAGGTTCCATTATTTGATTATTGTGCAGCCCACAAGTGTACAGTATACTTCAAACTGACTGTCTGATTCTCTACTTCCAGTTACAATCGCTTCATCCAGAGCAAGGACTTGTCTTCCAAATCCGCTGAAGACATGGCTTGCATCTTTGGTCAGCGAAGTAAGTCAGTTCCTGGAACTCCTCGAGAACAGTCTGAGGTTAGCATCATGTTCAAAACTCTCCTTAATATTTATCATGGGTTTTCTGTAATCCTCCTTACAAGAATTTGAATTTTGATGAAGATAATTTTCCTGGGGTAATCAGATGCTATATTTTAATGAGTTATTGGCCAAGCGTAAGGTCAAGGTGGCTGGATATTGACAAAGATCTTTACTGTGCGTTGATGGACTGAGACCCAGTCAAGGTCCATGGACATGAGAAAAAAGATCAAGGCCATTATCCCTCCATCTTAACCTAATAAGCTTTGGCAGTAGAGGATTCATTATATCATATGACATTAAGATGCCGTTTGGTCACGGGAAAAGGGAAATCTAAGTGGAGAAGACAGCCCCACCTTGCCTGTATGGTTAACCAATCACAGCCTGTGTAGGATTTGATTAATCTTGTCTGCTCACATACCTAGCTATAGATAGTGAACGATTTAGAAAGCCTATGGAGCTCTAAAAGAACACCATACTCCTGACTATCCCTAGTTGTGACAACAACAATATTCTTAAAATGATATAGCAAATAAAATCGTTTAGTGCGATGTAAGAAGCAGTTGAACATAATTTTAAATAACACAGGTCTGGAGCCTAAATGGACTGTGACGAATGAGTTAGCAAACAGCTTTTCTTCGTTTATTTCTGGTAGGAGTAGAAAATTTAGGAAGGATTGTTTAGCCATTTACAAAAATATTTTATTGGAAAAAAGAAAAGAATGGGTCTGATATTGAAGAAATGTCAGGTAAGAATGACGCCACGAGGCCGCTCCACGTTACTTAAAGACTTAAAGGGTCTGTTGCACTCTTTTTCGCGTGTGCGGTGTTTTGAATTTTGGACTGATGGTCTAAACAATCGTCTTTCATTCTTGTCAGGGTGAAGAATCAGACGGCAGCACAGCATCTTGTCCGCCACCATCGTTTCACGGTGTGCAGACTGTAAACTCCGGGCAGAACATTCAGGAATACTTTGAGATGAAAATGAGGGAGATGAAGGTCGCAAGAGAGGGAAAAGAAATGCGAGGAGAGACGGCAGCTCAAGAAGAAATGGTTACAGGCGAAGCTAGAAAAGATGGCTCAGAAAATGCAGAGTTCGCTGACGAAGAATTAAAGTCAAAGAAAAAGAAGAAGGAAAAGCGAAGAAAAAGGAAGGCTTGTGAATTGAAAAACGACGAAACTAGCTCGAATTTCGATGAGGATGAATACGCAGTAAAGGAAAAGAAAAAGAACGCGGAAGTGGAGGGATGGGAATCTGGCGAAGGCAAGGAATGTAAAGTCTTGAAGGAAACAAAGCGAGAAAAACGAAAGAAAAACAAAGGAAAGGAACAGGAGTTTATTGCTTCACAAGTTTGCGAAATTAAGGAAGTGCAGGGTGAGATGATAGAGAGTTTGGAAACTGAAGAGTCGGTGAAAGGTGGGAAGAAAAAAGATAAGAAAAAGAGGAAAAAGGACAAAGCTAGTATTGCTGAAGATTTGGAAATGTCGTGCAAGATTGAAGAACGAAACGATCACAAAGATACACTCAAAAAGGCTAGGAATTCCACCATGGAAAAAACTTGTAAAGAACCGCTCCCTGAAGCCGAGGAAACAGGAGACAAAAGAAAGAAGACAAGCAGAAAGGACAAAGATACGCTCTCTCTTGATGTGGAAGCTGTTGAAATCATCGAAATTAAAAAGGAGAAAAAGAAAAAGAAGAAAAAGGTGAAATAAAAAGAAGTCGGAAACAGTAAACGCCTATAAACCAAGGACGGGAATGATGGAACAAAATTGATAACAATAATAATAAAATCCATATGCGTATTGTTTGGTAGTGTTTATGGTATTTTAATTTATAATTCTTGCCATTGCAACGATAATTAGCTGGAAGGGAGGGGGATACATAGTGAAAAATTACTTACTAAGAAGGGGTGGGTAAGAAGTAAAATTACTCAATCAAAAGGGGAAGCGGTAATTTTCTCTCGTGGTAAAACATTGTTTAGCACTGTTGATTTATTTCCGTGGACTGGTACGTGTACACAATTTTACGTACATGGGAACGTTGAGCAGAGAACGTAAAATGAGCTGGTCTGTTTGGGCTGCCCTGCCAGAACTATAAAATTATCAGTATATACAAAATATTTACGTACAAGTAAAATTCTACTAATAAGAATTTAGTGGAATTCTGGTATAATAATGCAGATGCTGCAATCTGATTGGCTGAGCTATCTTACACTATCGACCAATAGTTCACTACTAAATTTTCCTGCGTCGTCATTGGCCAAAACTGACCACGTGATACAATCTCGCGCGGGCACTGTCAGGCGTTGCAGTTCAGCACTAAATTTTCTCGGACTCTTATTGGTTTAAATTAATCACGTGAGACGCGATAGTGTTCATCCACGGAGAGACACTATCAGCCCTTATAATCCAAATATTTTCGCTCGCAGGCGATTGTTGTAAACGCGTCACGTGACTGAATATGCCCAGCTAAAACTGGAGAATATCCGAGTGATATTCCCCAATTTTCAAAACCGCACTGTTGCGAAAAATATTTGAAGGATAATAAACACAGCCCTCATTTCGCCCGAAAATATGCTGTGAAATTTGTCCTTGGACATTATCTATTCCTCAAAGCTCACAGTTTTCCTTGAGCTACGCTCGCGGAAAACTGTTCAGAAACTGTCATTTTCTTCTCGGAACAGATAATGTCCGCGGATAAATTCCGAGCATATTTCTACGCTAAATGGAGGCTATCCGAGGAAAACACCCGGATGGTTAGTACTCGTTTGTGAAAATGTTTCTGTAAACAAGCGGGCTTATAGAAAATATACAATTAAAATTGTATTAAGGTTACAGTATACCTTCAGGGGTGTCTCGCGCGCAAGCGATGTAGCACGTGCAGTTTAAGCTGT